TTCCTCAGTGAAAATGTGTTGTATAAAAGAAATTATGATATGGTCTTGCTCAGATGCGTGGATAGACACGAAGCAGGCATGTTGATGCATGAGGTTCATGAAGGTTCATTTGGCACTCATGCCAATGGACATTCGATGGCTAAAAAGATGCTAAGGGCAGGTTACCATTGGCTGACAATGGAATCTGATTGTTATAAATTTGCAAAGCAGTGTCATAAATGCCAGATTTATGCAGATAAGGTCCATGTGCCTCCGACACTTCTCAATATGATCTCTTCCCCATGGCCTTTCTCTATGTGGGGTATTAACATGATTGGGATGATAGAACCCGAAGCTTTGAATGGACACCGTTTCATCTTGGTAGCAATTGACTACTTCACCAAGTGGGTGAAGGCTTCTTCATATGCTAATGTCACCAAGTAGGTGGTTGTGCGCTTCATCAAGAATAATCTTATATGTCGGTATGGTGTGCCGAGCAGAATTATCACCGACAATGGCTCGAATCTGAACAATAAAATGATGAAAGAACTTTGTGAGAAATTCAAGATTGTGCATCACAATTCATCTCCGTACAGGCCAAAGATGAATGAGGCTGTTGAAGCTGCTAATAAGAATATCAAGAAGATCATCTAGAAGATGATTATTACTTATAAGGATTGGCATGAAATGGTCCCTTTTGCTTTTCATGGATATCGAACATCTATCCGCACTTCAACATGAGCAACCACGTTCTCCCTGGTGTATGGAATGGAAGTTGTACTCCCAGTCGATGTTGAGATTCCCTCTTTGCGTGTGATAATGGAAACCAAGTTGACAGAGGCTGAATGGGTCCAAAACCGGTTTGACCAATTAAATATGATCGAAGAGAAGAGGATGACGGCTTTGTGTCATGGACAGTTATATCAGAAAAGAATGAAAAAAGCTTTCGATAAAAAGGTCAAACCTCGTGAATTCAGAGAAAGCGACCTCGTGCTCAGGAAGATCATGTCTTTCAACACTGATTCTAGGGGCAAGTAGACTCCCAATTTTGAAGGCCCATATGTTGTCAAGAAAGCCTTCTTTGGCGGTGCATTAGTTATTGAAACTATGGATGGCGAGGAGTTCCCACGTCCCATGAATGCTGATACAGTCAAGAAATACTTCACCTAAAGAAATAAAAGAACAGCTCGCTAAGTTGAAAATCCCAAAGGGCGGCTTAGGCAAAAAAGAGCGTCTCGGTAGGCCGAAAACCCGAAAGGGCTGTCTAGGAAAAAGTTTGAGACATAAACAGAATAAATTTCCCGCTAAATTGAAAACCCGCAAGGGCAGCTTAGGCAAAAGTTAGGGACTTTCTTGGCAAGTAACTTCATCATACAACATTTGATCATTGAAGCAACAATCTTCTCGAATCCTCATCATACTTCAATAGAAGCTGCTGTTTATGACTTCAGAAGTTGTTAAAGGGGATAATGGTCATTGTATCTCAATGTATCTTTCCATTATATATTACCATTTTCCGAACTTTGTAATCATCTATGGAGTCTCGCCATTCACAGACTACCATTCTATTAATAAAGTTTGAGTTGTTACCCAATTCTTTGTGTTTCTTATTTTATTTAGCTTGTAAAGACTCCATTTATTATTGATAATAACTTTCAAAGCAAAAATATTAAATAACAAAATCGATTTTTCAAAAAGATTACAATTATTCCTAACAATCCTTGATTGGTTGCGCCTGTTATGAGTACTAGAAACCTCCAGAATCTCATATTTTTCAATGAAATCTTCAAGGATAAAATCCAGCTATACTGATATGATGTTCTATTGCAATATGTTACAACATCTATTGGAATATCTGTCAAATAAGACACCTGCAGAACCTGTTGTACCAGCTTGTCAAAATGTTATGACATCTTACTCAATATTAGGCTGCAATACATGTTCTTCCCAAATAGAACATGTTGATAGAAATGGTGTCAACTATTTGTTTTACCAAAATTGTTGCCAACCATAAAATTACATACCTAACATGAGGGACAAGTTGTCTTGTGACAGGCTGCCACAGCAGGGTGCAGACGACGTTATCCTTCTCTTGTAGAGCATGTATATTAATGGGTGTACCATAGTACCTTCTTTTGTCTTCTTGCGCCTCTTGGTCTTATCCACTTTATTCAAAGGAATTTTCTTCAATGCAAAGCAAATATTCCCTCCAATGCATCAATCCTTCCATGTTTTCCCTAAGAACCTAGTTGACTTCTCCATTTTCTCCCTTAGCTAAGTTCATCTTTTTGACTCAGTTTACGCTCCCAAGTGTTGTCCATTACAGTAGTGCCTTAGCTCGACAAAGTTAACCTTAAATCAAGCAACAAATATATAAAGTTAACTAAATGGGGCACCTATTATGCTCCAAGCACATTACTTTAAAAATAACTAAAGTAAACTAAAGTATCAACTAAAAATCAATTTAACTAATAATAGCAAGAGATTAAGGTATGTAATAACTCATAAAATATGGGCTATCATTCTCCAACTCCAAAATCTCAAAAAAGTGTTTTCAAGGGTGCTTGCATTAGCAAACCATCTCCTCCATCATTGTTACCGAAAATCACTCATATTGAAGAGATGGTGCTTTTTATGCACAAATACATTGAGAAAATTGTAGATGTTAACGGTGACGACAACTGTGGTTTTTGAGCTATTTTGGATTTTCTCGATAAAGGAGAGAAAGATCACCAATTTATCTGTCATCAGCTTAGCCATGAGTTGACGATGCATATGGAATCATAGACATCACTATTCGTGAAAAAAGAAAATTACGATGTGATTCTCAATGCTTTTTTTCTTTGTGATAGTGGTATAATACCATTTCAAAAATGGACGTGTTTCCCAGAAATGAGACATCTTATAGGTAATGCTTATGATAGGGTGTGTATTGATCTGGTAAGATATAGTTTCTATGGAATATTTTTCCACTCTGGAGTAGGCCACTTCAAAATCCATTCGAACGCATCATGTGTATTAGGTGGCTTTATAAAACACAACGTTTTGTTTAAGTTTATTTAAAATCATGATGCCCTATACCAAAGACATCACCATAGTGGACGATACATTTCACATAAGATGTTAAAATTTGGTCGGATCACTTTTTAGAAATGATGACAGAGTTCTCCAAGTTGAGCAACGTTGAAAGAGAATCAAATAAGGAAAAGTTAAAGAAGGAACCACCAATAGATTTAGGTAGTGACACATGTTTTGATACATTTAAATTTTAATCTAGCAATGTAACTCATTTTTTGTATTTAATGTTGTCAATAATGTAATCTCAATACAGTTTGTGATATACGCAATGTCTATTCTACTTTAATATTATAGAATTTGAGGGTAAATTTTGGATAATTTTTCTGTTTCTGTATGTCATACTGGTTCTGTATGAACAACGTTCAGGGTAAGTCTGAATATGCATCTCCAGGCACACTCTATTTTAATTGTAAAAAAAATAGGAGATTTTATGAATGTGAATCTCTGGACACACCTTGATTTTTTTTATAAAAATAGGACGTGTCTGGATATGCATATTTGAAATATCTCCTGATGAAAGGATATTGTTTCTAAGGTCCAAATTAACCTACAAATTATATAAAATAGAGGTCTCGCATTCCATGTTCTTTACAAAAACCAGAATGAATACATATTTCATTCTTGCATTTATGTATTTCAATAGCGCATATACCCCACTTCAATTTAGAGTCTTCGAGAACATACTTCTCATCGATCTGAAATCCAAACTAAATACTCTCATGCTATATCCAAAAAATTGGAGAGTTGTGAAGCTCGAGTACTGTTCACCCTCGATTGATAATGAAAGGAAGATATAGTTCATCATGCTTGATCTGAAGATAAATAGGGATTTAAAGATTATGTAGAGTACATTTTACCGTTACTCAACAAAGTGCCTGATTGAAGTGGATGCAGCAATTGCAAGATCAACCGAAAATATTATAAAGATGTTATAACGTCTTGAACCACCCATTTGTAATGGAATGTAATATTAAATTTATATTTAAGTTAATGATTATTTATGTAATATTTATTTCGATGTTAATTTATGTTGTTTTTCCATTATTCTGTTATTTTCCTAATTATTTATGCTTTGAACTAATACGACATATTCTTGAGATTCATCTCTAGATCATTAAGAATTGATACGAAGATGCATCTCTAAACTAAAATCTTAACAAAATAAAAATATTTCATCAATATGCACCGAAGAGTGTGTAGAAAAACGCGTCTAAAAAATCATCTCAAAATTCTAAAAGCATTTGTAACAATTCTCTGTGGCGTGAAAGCATCCTATAGGATGAGATGAGTAATTCCCCTTCATATTTGATTTTGTTTAACTGTGTAACTTGTGAAAACCAAATTTAGCTAAATAATTGTCCTTTTAAGAGTGAATGATTAATAAGTGAATAGCTTGAAAAAATGCCATGTGTAAAAAATACTACAAAGATAATCCGAAAAGGTCCAAAAGAAAATAATCACTATTATTGTCATTATCTGCCAAAGTTCAAAAACAAACCATTCAATAATTCAAAAATATGATACTAGTTTCTATGACTCACATAGTCCAAAAAACAGTCACACTCACACTCATTTACTCTAGCTCACACAACCCACACAGTGTCTCCTTTCACCTAATCAAAAAACCTCGCACAAAAGTTAAATGCCACTGACCACTACTCACTCATTCATTCTTTTTAACCATCACAAAGCAAAAATAACTGCTACACCACTACACGACAAAACCACTCTCAACGTGGCACTTGAATACCAAAACAGTCAAAATCTCTGTCCTTTATTACTACTCCTCATAGCTGTAGCGGGCCCCACTATAACTCTCTTTTTGTACTATTCTCACCCTTCTTCTCCTTCTTCTTTTTTTCCTATTTATGTTATTACCTTTCTCCAACGTTATTCATTCGCCACCAACAATTTAATAGTGACACCACAACATAGAATGAAATATGGTTGGTCTTGGTGTAGTGCTGGAAGAAGTTGAATCGACGAAAAACAACACTATCAACAACAACAACAACAACAATAACACTCTTCAAGTTATTAACAAAACTACCATGATGCTTAGCACAACCAAAACCAACGACAAAACCTTAAATCCTTTTAAGGTTTCATCTTTTCTTCACCAATGCTTCCTATGTAACAAGAAACTCTTGCCTGAGAAAGATATCTACATGTACAAGTAGGTTCCAAGAACCATTATGTACTATTATTTTCCTCCTACATTTGCTTCCTTGTCTAGATCTTAATCTTATACACACACACACACACACACACACAAATTCAGATATTTTTATGTTAATTTATTTATATTTATGTGAACATTATTTATTTATTTATTGCAGAGGAGACAGAGCCTTTTGTAGTGTGGATTGTAGGTGCAAGCACATTTTAACAGACGAGGAAGAAGCTATTGAGAAACAGAAATGTTGTTTGGATTAGAGTTATTTTTGGGAAACTATGTTATTCCAGTTTTACCCCTGGTTTAATTTTTGTAATGACCATATGATCCTTTGTTCTTTATTTTGCTTCCTAGTATGAAGCCAAAATATCCTTTCAGCTTTTAATTATTTTTGGGTCCATTTATTGTAAGATGAGAGGGGCTTTCTCTATGATAGTGGTGGTTCTTGCTATGCTTTTAACTCTTCTTTAGGTCTTGTTATGCTTTCACTTTTTTTAGTACAATTTATGCTTTTACTTTACTGTCTAAAAGTCATAGTTTTATGTGTTTTTGTTTATTTACTGGTTTATTGTGTTAATTATGTGTTATTAGTGGTTTATTAATTGGGTTCAATACTAATTAATTCTTGATAGTGTTATGGTCGGTTGTTCATTAGCTAGATAAAGTACTGACAGATGTGCCAATAGAACACTTTCATGACATCTGGATCACATTTTTGGGAGTATGAACAATTCTTAAAACTATTGTTTAGTGAAAGGAAAGAATATTGTAGTTTCTAGTGAAGTTTGTCTTACATGTTTAAATTAATAATATTATGATTCTGTTTGAGATTCTCATGCATTTAGAATCAAGCAAAAACTATATTTCTTATGATTCAAACTTTGAATTACAAAGTGTATGTATAACATTTGTCAACAAAAAAGTTAAGTAAATTCTTACAAAATTTATCATAATGTTATACCAGTAAAAAGAAATAATCATGAATAATATTCTCATTTACAAGAGTATCCTATATAGGTCTGTAAACATTAAGTGCAAGTTTTGTTGGGACTGAAATTTTGGTTTACATTTACGCCTTTCCATTAGATCATTCAAATCACTAACTAACTGAATTATGTATTATTTATTTGTAGGAGGATATGACATTTATTTAGGTAGATTTTTAAATGGAAACAAACTTCCTCAAAATGAAGTAGAATCTTCTTATTGGTAGAAAAAACTAATGAATAGTTTGTCATGAAAATTGGTTTCATGTCTTTTTTTTATTGTATTTCATAATATATATATATAATTGTGTCAATAATTATAGATAATTATAATTCATAATGACTAATCTTTTATCTTAGTAAAGTAAATTATTCACAATAAATATAACGATTAATTTCTGATTAATATCCCCTTCAAATTGATACAATTTGTCAAAGAGTATCAATTTGCTAACAAGAAATTGATGTCGTGGACATGGAACAACCTTGATAAGAATATATGTGATCTGCAATAGAGTACTAACTTGAGGAAGTGATATTAGTCGATCATCATAGGCGTCACAGATTGAGTGACAATCAACTTCTATATGTTTGGTGTGTTCATGAAAAAACATGATTTGCAACAATATGAATTACACTTGTATTGTCAATATAAAGTGAAGTTGACTTTGTTTGGGGAAATCCAAGTTCAGCTAAAGTATTGAACAAGCAGCAAACATGACACGATACTCAGAATCAGTAGAAGATTTGGAAACTCTTGCTTGCTTCTTACTTTTCCAAGAGATCAATGAAGAACCAAGAAACATGTACCAATCAATAATATATCGACGAGTATCAGGACATCGTGCCCAATCATCATCACTATAAGCACTCAATTGAAGAAAAATTCCAACATGGAAGAATAATCTGTGGTGAAAGGTTCCCTTTAAGTAGCGAAATATACGACAAATTGCAACCTAGTAAAGATGACGAGGAGAATGCATGAATTGTCTTACTTTATGAACAACAAGAGATAAGCCAGGACTAGTAATATTCAAGTATTTAAGGCTACCCATAAGTTTTCGATACAATAAGGGATTAGGAAAAAGATCACCATTATCACGATGATATTTGACATTAACATCAAGGGGTATCTACAGAATTAGCCGATTGGAGACCATCCATAGAAATCAAATTTGTAGCATACTTGTGTTGATGGAGAAAGATGTCTTTGGATGTGAAATGAACCTTAAGACCAAGAAAATAATATAGTTTACCAAGATCTTTCATATGATATGAAGCTTGTAACTCTTGTTTAAGTCTCTGAATGGAAGCATGATCAGAACCAATAATAACCATATCATCCACATACAAAAGAAGTAACATAATTCACGTAGATGTGTTATGAATAAATAGAGAGGATTCATACTAACTATGAGTAAAGGAGAACACAAGTATAGTGGAGTAGAATTTTCCATACCATGCTCTGGGTGCTTGTTTCAAACCATATAAAGAGCGTTTCAGATTGTAAACACTCTTGGATAAAGAAAATAGACCTTGAGGAAGTGTCATATAAATATCTTCAGCCAGATCACCGTGAAGAAAATCATTCTTCACATCCATTTAATGAAGAGACCAACGATTAGAAGCAACTATGGATGTTACAGTGCAAACAATTATCATTTTGGCAGCTGGTGCAAATGTCTCATAATAATCAATTTCATATTCCTGCTTGTTTCCTAAGGAAAGCAAGTGAGCTTTGTAACAGTTAAGTGACCCAAAAATTCAATTTCACAGAATACACCCATTTGCAGCCAATGGATTTGACATTAGGATGACAAGAGACAATATGCCATGTGAAATTCTCTTGAAGAACTTGAAATTCTTCATTCTTTGCTTTTATCCAACTCACATCTTTCACAACCTGTGAGTAACAAGTATGAATGTATATGCTAGACAATGTGATAGTCAGAGAAGGATGTGAGGAATTATACATGTCTGGTGAATATCTATTGGGTACTCCAGATTTTCGGCCAGATTATCGTGGTTTAATCGACACAGAATCAGGTGGCGATTCAAGGCCGACAAGAGGCGTAAGAACCTGTTGTTGGTTTTTTCTAACATACACATGACCTGGATTATAATGTGTTATGGATTGAGGCATAATAGAAAACTTAGGAAGAGTAACAATATCATTTATGGCAGGAGAAACACATGGAAACATAAATTGATTATAAAAAAATGTCACATTCATAGAAATACGAAAATGATGGTTAGAGACATAATAACATACAAATCCCTTATGGGAATGACTATACCCTATAAATTCACATTTTATAGACTGCACTCCAAGCTTATGCCTTTCAGATGGAGTTAAGTGAATAGAACACACACACCCAAAAGTATGTAAAGTGAAACACGCTAGAATACTTTCAGAATTGCCGATTGACCCCATAAATTAAGACAAGTCTTTTTAGAAGATCACCAAATCAAATACTACTCCAAGTCAAGCATGTTTAACTACAAAGTTCTTATTTATAAAGTTTAACAGAAAGAAGATGCATCTTATTAGTACCGATCAATCTTTATAAGTATTCCTTCAACCATGCAGTCTCATAACTACACAACCTCAGGATCCCTCTCATTCTAATGTGAATTTGTTTTTGGCTAGAAGCTTCCAAGGGCCTCTAATTTTTATGCCTCATGCACCGACAAACACTCCCGTCCTCATCAGCCTCGGGTGTTACATGCCCACCAACTTCTGCTTGGTTCATCCTCAAACCACTTCATACTGGGAGATGTCTGCTCTAATACAATATGTAATGCACCAGAATGCTTTCATGATTATCGACTGACCTTACAAACCAACATGAGTCTTTTTAGCATGCTTTTTCCTCATGCATAAGCTTTTCAGGAAACTTCTCAGAAGCCCACTCATCCAAGTACTACTTCAAGTTAAGCACGCTTAACTATAGAGTTCTTATTTGTTAGGCTACTGAAAATAAGATGTAACGTGTTGGTATAGGCAGTGTCAATCAATTCTTAAGTCTTCCTTCAATTGTGCAGTCACATACCTACACAACCTCAGGATCCCTCTCATTCTGATGTGAATTCAATTTCTTCCTAGAAGCTGCCAAGAGCCTTTCATTGTCATGCTTCGTGCACCAGCAAACACTCCACACCCTCGTTGGTCTCGGGTGTTACAAGGTACATTTGAAAATGTATTTCCGAATATGAGGGGCATTTTCAGATTTCTATAGTGTGGCTCTCCACCACTTAGGTGGGAGGAGAAATCCCTATAAAAAAGGTAATATTCACATATACCCAAACCTCTTTACTCCTTACTTGGAAAATAAAATAAAAGATGACCCATGAGGAAATTACTTTATTTGAACATCCTTTCTAAGTATAAATTTGTCAATAATCTCTCTCTCTCTCTCTCTCTCTCTCTCTCTCTCTCACACACACACACACACACATACATATTAAATAATGCAACTAAAAAAATATAGTATAGTTGAATATTAAAGTTTTTTGCAATTAAAATTATATAACATGTTAGTCAAAATTGACGAGTAGTTGAATTTAGTATCAACTGAATTTTCCTTAGTTGAAGTAAGGTTAGAAGAATATAAAGAAAATTCAATACAAATTAGTTAAATATTTTCCAAATCTATTAAAGTCTACAAAGGTCGAGAAGGGGTTAGACCCACTCAAGACTTAGTAGAATTTGATATTTTACTCGTGTTTCTTGTTTATCACACCACTAATCAAAGTTGTTATTAACACATATGCACATTATGAGAAGATAACACACATGTGAATTGGAGAAACAATAAGTGTCCTGAAATAGGGATGAGTAAGTTGAACGTGGGGTGTTAGATACAACAAGTAGAAGGAAATTTCTCGCAATATCCGCATAATTACTGTAGCAAGATGAAATTATATAGATAACATCATTTTGTCTAGTAGGGCTATTGATTTCCTTTATATATCATACTTGTAAATTTTTTCAACACAAGCAATCAAACAAGTTTTTTTATGCATTTCTATTTATTTATTGTTTTGGTTTATTTTATTTTATAAATTTCTTAGATTGTGATGACTCATCGTGAAATGCAGTTTTAAGAGTGGCTTGTATGGTTTTTTTTTACTTAATTTCGTTCAATTTAATGTTGAATTTAGATTTATTTTGAATTATTTTTTCTCTAATTTAATTAGATGTTTTTGTTTTCATTTTATTATTAACCACTACTACGAATAAGTGATTTTATCTCACTGGGAAATGGGTTTTA